AATACTATGGTACCCCAAAACCCCAAAACCCCAAAACCCCAAAACCCCAAATTCAAATATTTTAAAATTTCAGAATATTGATAAATAATTAAAATTAACTTTAGACTCAATTGAATATATTATTTTGTGCCATTGTTTGTAACACACTTTTTGTTGTTGAGGGTACCATAGTATTATTATTGTATGAAATAGGATTAAAAACTCTTTAATGATAGTTTGGTAGTGGGTTCCATATAGGATTTTTATGAGTAATTTCAAAGACATTAGCAGCATCTCCTAATGTTGTTTATGATCTATACCTACTCATTCCAGCTGGTTGATTTTTAAAGTCAACACTTTATGATGTCATAGGCTAACCTCCAATTGTTTGAAATGCTATATAATTTGATTGAAAAGTAAAGATACCATTTGGTGATAATTATCCATGAGATTGCTTCATCTCCAGTTCCATTTGCTTTCTTTTATATGTCATATTTTGATCTCTTAGAGTGTTATTAAAATCCTAACGCTAAGTTCTACCTGCGGCAGCTGACTCCAAATCCATTTGAGGAGCACCTTTGTGTGCAAGTGGTTGAGAGCCTACAGTATCAAAGTGATGTATACCTGGCACAGCTGCATAGACCTGCCCTTCTAGATTTTTATAGGCCTAAAATTAAATAATAAGAATCAAACCTAACTTAATATATTGAAAGAAAAATTTAGATACTTACTCTTAAGTCAACTTTATTGAGCTGCTTTTCATGCATAGTCATCTTACCATAGTTTCTTCTTAATTAATCTTGAATTTATTGCTGATATAGTAGAGTCTAGCCATATAGTCTCTTTTAGTTTATTAGTTCTTGTTTCTACTGATCAGTCAAGTTATCCATTATTGAAATCTCCTGACCTCTTTGATTTGCATACTACAAATTCTTTTACTTCTCTTCCTGCTCTCTTCTATTTTTCATCTCTAATTATCGTCTATTGAAATCATCTATCTCTGCCTAGCTCATAGCCTTTTTGCCCATTTAACCCATCATCTCACCTTGCGCTTTAGCAGCTATTTATTCTCTATCTTATAATCTCTTCATCTCAAGCATTCTCTCTTTCTCATTATGAGGAGCAATAACATTCTAAGTATAATCATTAATCTTGCCTTGCTATTAATGAGCAAAATCCTCATAAAATTTTCTCCATTAGCGTTCCTTTTCTTCTTTCTTACGATTCTCATCCTAGAGCATTTTGTTATAGTCCATTTTATCCTAAAGGGCCTTTTCTCTCTCAAGGTCTTTTTAAAACTGTTTGTAAGCATAAAAATCTCTCATTTCCTTAGCTTAATTAGCCTTTTTTTCCAAATCTTTTATTTTAGCATTTTGCTCTCCTAGTTTAAATTAGTTAATTCTATCATTCATCTCATTTTGATCTCTTTATCTGATGTTATCTTCAGTACTTTTATCTCTTCCAACCTGATTGAGTAAATCAATTGCAGTTTAATTTTTAAGTTGTCTATCCATGGATTTTCTCATTTTGTTATACTGTAGGAAAATTTATTAGTATATTCATGAGTAACTTACTTCCTCCAACTCTTTATCTAGATATTTCAATTCTTCTCGTTCAGCTCTGAGTTTATCTTTTTCTCTTTATTTTTCATCTTCTTTCATTTTTTTCATCATTTCAAGATCATGTCTAATAAATTAATCTCAATTAGCTGTAATGATGAATTGAAAAGTAATCAGGATAATATTATAAAGAGCTTACTTGTATTGAAGTTTCTTTTATTTTTATTCCTCTGCTCTTTTTTTGGCATGCTACTCTTCTAGATAAGTTTGATTTTTGACTAAAGCATCCCACTCATCAACGACACCTAAACTCATCAAAATGTAAGAAATCATGAATCATATTATAAAACTGATGTAAGCCATACCATGTCGATCGATAGGATAGAATACCTTCTGAGGATTTTAAGGGTAGAAATCATTGACGATGTGATCATATTTATCCATGTAATCTCGCTTTACTCCATATGCGGCTAAATGTAACGGATCGTTCTAAATTAAGTCAAATCTATATTCTAGTTACAATGTCCATTTTAGATGTAAAAAAATAACTTATTATATTATCAATCAATTTTCCTATTTTTTGCAAAATAAGCGGTTCGGGGTTTTGGGGTTTTGGGGTTTTGGGG